CGCAACGAAACGATGTTTGTCTATAGTTGATTTTATACGAGATGGGAAAATAAGAAAAATTGCTTTTGCGACACCGAAAAACGATCTGAAAAAACGTAAATGTTAATGTCGCCATACTTCATTAATTACCATTAACACAATTGCGATACCTTTTAGGGGATACCGTTATTATAAACCTTTGTACTCAGTTGATAAGCAAGCGCACGCTCAATGTATATTCAGCGTGCACGAGATATATTTCAACTCTCTCTCGCGTTTACATAGACTATACATTGAGCGCGCATTCAATTCATAATTACTATGCAACTATTTACAGTAACTGTACTCCCTAAAATGCTCTGGGATTTTGTTATTGGTTGGTTGAAGCGTGTGTAAGATTTGACAACATCAAAATATTCATTTTTCATATTGTTTTTGGAGTAGCAAGTGGTATTATTTTGAACTTTTACATTGCTTATATATGTCAAGTCCACAGAAAAGTTCTAAAGCTCATTTTTTGTTCCGAATGTCCTAAAAACCGCAAAATACTTTAAATAAAGCGAACAAATCAATTTTTGTAATGTGTTTATAACAATTTTTGGCGCAATTTTGGGCTTAGTCACATGCAGATTCTTTAACAGGGGTCCTTGAATCATAGTATGCAAAAATCGGAAACGGAAAATTTTTACGAGCTGATGTTCCGATATTATCTGGACTACTATCCGAGTTCTGAGACTGATTACCAGTGCATTGACGCAAGCGTGTGGGTAGGGGCCACTTGTCAATGTCGAGGCTGGTCCGCAAGTCCACGTAGCACAAAAGCCACAAAACACTCCTTCATCTGCTACATTGACGTTAAACATGTGATTTTATTAGTGTGTTAAATGTTGAAATTCTCGCCATTGCTACATCGGCAATCCTGGCCGCACATGCGCATTAAATGCTCATTTTCTCAAGTTAAGTTACGTTAAGTCTTGCATGAACCCACCATAAGAGACCGATAGTTTATTTTTACGTAAAAACGAATGCTCTTTAAATTATCACATTTGGCTTACCTAAAAGATTGTTATGTCGATACAGCAGTTGGCTTTATCCACTTGTCCTAGCAAAAAGGATGCCATTTTAATCTTTACGTATTGATATTTGGATGCAGTATAAAATTGCCAATCTTAAAACTGATCCTAAGTGTTTTTAGTACAATTGTTGTTTCGTTTTCCCTGAAACGGTTAATGACATTTTGTATATATTGTATTAAAGAGTACGAAATGTTGGCTATAGCTTTAAGCTATTTCATCAGCGTGAGTCGGGGCAAAATATCTTCTTAGGATCAGTTTTTCTGTTTTCTACATCATTTAGAGCAGCTTCATAAACAACACACTCAGTCAGTTACTTACGTAAACGATATTTCTGTTCTGAATAATCATTTACCTTTCATCCTTATTGATATTTTCCTAAGATGTCTTGCAACTGAGCATCTATTTTTACAATATGCTCCATTTTATTTTTCTGAAACAGTTGTTATACTGACTATTTCTACTCAAAATATATTTACCAGGATATTTTCTAAGAGCACAACGTGATCTATCACTACATGAATTTTCTTTAAGATTGACGAGTGGTCAAATTTCATGTTTTGTGCCTTGTACATTGAGCTTCATTAGATAATCAGATTTAGGTCATCTCTATGAATCAAACTGTCTGATTTGTATCGTTAAACTTATAATCTATATCTGTCGTTCAATATCGGAACGTAAGCGATATGCCAAATTTAATTAAACCGATCAAAATATTAATTAGGCCAAAACAGCTAACCAGATTAATTGGCTTTATTGAACTCCAATTTATAAAATAGTTTACTTAAGTCTACGAGACTAGCTTAATTAAAACAAAACGCAAACGTTTACATTTATTAAGCCGTTGACTTAGATTAACTATACCAATCTTTCAAAATTAATGAGCTATTAAAACGAGTGTATTTGCTCCAAGTAAAATAATTTAATTATATTTATTTAACTTGTCTAATCCGTTTAGGTAAAAGTGTTTGCTTCTGAAATATTTTATTTAGATTTGAAAAGGTGTTTGGATAATATTTTTAATGTGAAATAACGCATTGCATTTTACTGAGTGATGTATATTATAACTGTGCTCTGACAAATTTTAGATACTGAAAAACTGGAAAAACTTGATATCAAACTACTGTTGCACGGAGCTGACAAAATTTCGATTAATTATACTGTGTCGTTCAATAGGTACCTAAGAAAAACCGATTTCCAGCCACTTTTTACTTTCTACATCATCTCAAATATTTATTATGTTTGCAACTAAACAAAACTTAGCAGATCATTATTTTCAAAAGTGCTTACCTGGCATATTTCCTAAACAGGTTGATTCAACTTCTATTAGTTAGTCAATCTTCTGAATCTAGAGCTTATATGAACTCTCCGTTAGATTCTCATAGATGTTCAATATTTGTATTTCTATTTATCGTATTCAACAGCTATCTCTTACTCTGAAATCTTGGAAATGGCACAATAGATGATTTTTTAAAGAGTGATCTGTAACACTGGCGAAGCTTTTACCCCTTGGCGGTATAAGGAGCATTAAAGACTTAGATCGTGTTGGATACCCGTGCAGCAACAGGCTGCTCATAAGTATCCCTACACGATGACGAATATGGTTCATAATAAAACATCAGGATACGCTTGACCCCTTACAATAACCCGCTCAAAATGTTTTTCTGAAAATGAGCAGTAGACACTGAAATGAACGATTTTTATTATTTTAGCAGTAAGGTTGTGACAAAACTTCATCAAAATCCGACAGGTGCTACCTAAGTTATACAGGGGCCAATGATTAGCGGACAAACAGACAAACCGACGGAAATGGGTGAGATGGTTTTTGAATATGTACATGTCATATAACATAAAAAACAGAATATCTCAATTTCGTAATTTGGCAAAACATAAAATCCACTCAAACATATTCATGAGTATACAAAACCTTCACTGAGTGAGAATATCTACAAAAATTCTTATTCAAAATATCAAAATATATCTTACATATGATACAGGACAGTTCATCAATTTTCCAGTTTTATTCCTTATTTCGTTGTTTCCGTCTCTCCATTTCTTTGTCAACCTAAAACGTGCAGTATTTGTATTTTTGTAAGATAAAAAGGCTATTGTCAATTTTATACCTACTATCGCTTATTTGCTCTTGCTGTCAATCGCCCATTCACTTTGCAGAGCCCAATGGACTCTTTTCTAGGCAGGATACCTAAGATGCGCTCACTAAATTAGTTTTCATATTTTAAATAAACATCAATCTTGAAAACATACCATTTCCAAAGAAACACTATAAAGAGCTCCAATCTATCTGGGCAAGTTCACATATTTCCAGAATAGAATCGAAGTACTAATAAATAATAAGTCATATTTGAATGCATTTTCAACTCAAAATCAATCTTAAAACATACAATCCAAAGAAGTAGTATAAGGGGCTTCGATCTATCTGCGCAAGTTGACATATTTCCAGATTAGGATAGAAGGACTAATAATAAATCATATTTGAATACATTTTATGACTATTTATTGTAAGCCCCAAGCTATACAGTTGACAGGTGGTGTTTCACTATGCGCGCATCAAAACTCAAAAGTATGTTTATCCCAAGGGATCAGAATAAGAATTTTTATTACAATAAGAGACAACGTCGGAACTAGGTGTCTTTTGTCCCCTCTTGAAACGAACATAAACTAGTGAAAACTATGGCGATGCAAGTTCGTAGCAGCATATGCGGCCTCAGGAATTCTCAGCGGAAGTTAACTTTTGTGTGAAAGCAATACTACCTCCAAAACTTTCTGAAGCACGAGGAAGAGCATATTTTCTCAGGCGGCCAACTTCTAAAGAGCTCCAAAATTGTACAAAAAGAGAGAGTAAAGTATGCAAATCTTAATTGTATGAGTCTGTTTGAATAACTTGATCCCCTTAATGTTTTTTCTCGGAGGGGCCAACTTGTACAGAACATAATACTTTACGAACCCATTTTCAAAGAAACACTGTAAAGAGCTCCGATCTATCTGGGCAAGTTTACATATTTCCAGAATAGGATCGAAGTACCAATATTAAGTCATATTTGAATACCTTTTCAATACAATATCAATCTTAAAATATACAGTTACCAAGCAGCTTCTAGACAGTAAATGTACTTACTACGGGAAGATCGACTACACAGTGCTTTTCAAAATGGACCCTTCTTTCACTAACTTTACAGCCTTTTCTCATTCTCATTCAATCTTCATTTTAGTTCTTCATCATTCTTTCTTTTCGAAAAAAAATCTTCATTTTTGACCCCCCACAATGAGCCCTGCCGATCTGCCGTTCGCTTTGCAAAAACCAATCTAACCTAAAATAAGATATTATGTATTTTGGATATCATGGTCGTATGACATGTACATCATGAAGAACCATTTCGTTCATTTCCGTCGGTCTGTCGGCTAATCTTATAACCGCCTATAACTTGAGAAGTACCGCTCGGTTTTTAATGGGATTTTAAAACAATGTTGCTACACTGCCAAGGACGCAGAGGCTAGTTTTTGAAAATCGATCAAGTGGCAGCAGAGAAAGAGGCCAAAAACAAAAAGGATTATTTATTATTATTACATGTTTCAGACGAACAAAATTTAGAACAAACAGTCCGTTCGATTCTAACGCTGTTTCCATTTTCAGTTCGTTTCTCACACAAATGTTCACAGTGGACTGACTTGTACATCTAATTGCCTCCTGTGTCCATCCTAAGGTCGGTGAAATTTATCTTCTAATGATGTTGACGATTCTCAGTTCGAAGACTGTGTCACTAAAATGTTGATATACTATATAAGTTGCAACTGAAGTCATACATCTAGATATAACGCCTTCACCAAAATTGGCGAGCCTAAACATTGATGTTTGTACAACAACGATAAAATATTACAACAAACTTACCTCTTCGGTATTTCCTCTTCTATCGTTATCTAAACTCACAGAATGTGGTACCTTGAAGCGGCATTTAAGATCGTGCATATAGTAGCAACTATCCAAGATACAAACAATCAGTCATATCATAAGCTGGTGCGACTATCGTTCTCCAGAGAAGCAATCCTCTATTCTATAGCGTCATTGAATTTCTTGGCTTCGAAGGGTCTCTCACGGAGTATGGTACCAAGAAGCTGTAACACGTTTCCCTCTGGTTTGAAGACTGCTTCTCACAGCTTCTGCTATGCAGGAGGTACAACTAAGTATATGGAGTTACAACATTCTGATACGCAAAGATCGGTTAGACTAGGTATAACAGCAATGAAGGATCACAAAAGAAACATATTTGGAACTAGTATAATCTATATTTCATAATTCAAAGACCGTGTCTCACCGAATGTGGCTCACAAAAGTGGCAACTAAAATTATTCATATAGTTGCACCACACCTCAATAAGACTGCATACTAACTAACGTTGTCGAGAAAAAGATGTTTTCATCCTTCATTTCGGTCAGTATTTCGTAGACTATGGTACACATATATTGCAGCCAGGCTTATGCATCAAAATTCTGAGTACCAAAAGCCGGTGAAACTGAGTACTTCTCTGTTAAAGTTATAATGGATTACTAAAAACCCTTCGATGTTTCTCTTTTATCGTTACCTACATTTTTCACTTCGGAGACTGCGTTTCTCAGATTCATGTACACAGAAGGTGCAACTTAAGTCATCGATCCTAGTAGGACCGACCTGTGTTCGAAATCCGGTGAGACTGCGTTGCAGCTATCAAGAAGTATCAAATAAATTGTGAAATTTTCGCTTATATCTTATCTACATTTCCCAACTGGAAGACTTCATCTCACAAATTCCAGTACCCAGATGTTGCAGCTCGAGTCATAAGCTACAAAAATCTGAACCCCCAAATCGGTTAGACCGAACCTGAATGAGTTCCACAAAAACAGATATCAATATTATCTCTGCTATTGTCATCTACATTGTTCAGGTCGGACTGAATCTTACACATTGTAGTGTACATAAACTACCAATAAAGTCACTTCTATATATAAGTTTTCGTATTTTGTAAAACAGAATCGCCCAGACTGAACATGAAATATTACCAAAGAAACAGACGTTTTCAATATTTTCTTTTCTATCGTTGTAATGCATTTCTCGATTTGGAGACAGTATTTCACAAAGTCTCGGACACCAAAAGTACAACTTTAGTCAAAAGTATAAGCTAGATGATCCTGTCTCCGAAATTCGGTACGACTGTGCGCAGGGATGGAGAATTTTCAAAGATATAGACCTTTTCGACATTCTCTCTTATCTACCTTATGATATTTCGACTCTCCACTTTTGAGACTGTATGTCTCATATTCTGGTGCATTAAAGTTGCAATTGATGTTAGGAATCCCAGTCACAAGGGTTGAGATCGAACATGAAAAATTTTTATAGAAGCAGATGATTTGTCAAATCGGAGACTGTAATCAGCGACTACAAAATTTGGATGGTGGTTATTTTGGCAGGCAAAAGATAGCAAAGATGTCTAAAATAGTACCTCAAATTCGTTGAAGTAACGAGCCCAATTTTTTATATTTCTTTCAGAACGGTATTAGAAATGACCTCATCCATTGCAAGGCACTTAGTACACTTTCAAACCCTGCCAGATACCCATGAAACTTTAGTAAATTTTGGAGTTAATCTTTCGTCATCGTATAAAAGCTGAAATTCATATGTTACTTGGGGGACTATCAAAAGATGTTACCCCAGTAGCAGGCAGCTTTAATCGTTAAGCATGACACATTACAAGTCTGCCGTAGCTGCGACCGCGAGGCGGTATATATTCAAGTGATTTTGTAGAAATAGTGAGCTTAGTCTTCTGCGATCTATGACTGTGTTGACTGTTGTTTATACTATTGATACAGTTGATCCGGTTTGTCAAAAAATGGTCAATGGTCTGTCAACTACGACATATGAAATATGACAAATACCAGTTTTATTAGTTTGAAGAGGCTCAGCTACCAAATTATTTTACTGATTCTATAAAAACCTTAACAGGTATCTAATTATCACGTTTAATTATTATTCATAAAATATTATTTATAATTGTACGAGCTCAGTCAAATTCTTACAGAAACTGATGGAGAAGGCGATATTGACATCGATAGTAGTGACGAAGATAGTGAAGACATTGACGACAACGATAAGGATCATCAAATATTTTTCTATATCCAATAAAACTTTTTTCTACCTTATAATATTAGCTACTGCATATAATTTAGCTATGAACATGATAAAACGATTTTTTCAATATATTTCTTACTACGAACAATACTGTCAATGGCGTACTTAGAGGGGGGCGATCTGCCCTTCAAAGACCCCCAAGTCTGCCATCCATCCCAGATGGTAAATCCTCCGGGCAACGAACATACTAAACATGAATGCTGTGACCGCCACTGCGACCCCCCCTCCACGCTTAGACAGATCCCAAAATCTGCTCTTGAATCCTCTGTTCCCTCTTCCCTCCCTGGTTCCTTCCTATAGTAAACAACTAAACTTTTCGAAAAAGTTAACAAGAGCCCAAAATGCGATGGATTCATTAAATCTATAAAAGTTAGGTGAAAAACTAAAGCTTCCGCTATTTGTTGGGTACTTCGACAAAATTTAAGCAAGGAGGGCTCTTTATACTTTTTTAATCTCTCTAGCTTTCAATGCTCTTTGCCATCATCATCAGGAGAGTAGTATATGAGGATGTTGCTAAATGTTATTTACGTTGAAGATGAGGGAAACACCCAGTGACGTGGTTAAAGTCGGATACATGGTATATTAGTCAAAATTATACAAACTACACACAGCTGTAGGCCAAGAACAAAACATTACATCATGAACCACTTGAACTACTTGAAGGTGCAATCATCAATTGGTTCATGATGTAAAGTTTTACATTTCGTTTTGAATATTTTTAATCTGTTTTAATTTGTTCTTGGCATACAGCTGTGTGTAGTTCGTATAATTTTGACTAATGTACCATGTATCCGGCTCTCACCAGGTTACTGGGTGTTTCCCTCATCTTCAACGTAAATAACACTTAGCAACATCCTCACATACTACTCTTCTGATGATGATGGTAAAGACCATTGAAAGCTAGAGAGGTTAAAAAAGTATAAGGCGCTAATTTTGTCGAAGCTGCCCAACAACAATTCATCTTCAAACACGTTTTTGTTATAACGCTCGCAAAGCTAATTTTGACAGTTTGTAACTAATCAACAATTTATTTTTTTCCAAGAATGATGCAATACTTTAGGGAATTAAGCCGTTCTATAAAAGACGTGCTAATAACCGAAAAAATAGCCGTAAAAACCCTTACGTGTCTGGTATAAAAAAAAGCCTATAAATATTTGAATCTAAATTTGCAGAAATATACAGGGCGATGCACTTGAAATTTTTGAGAAAAACTACAATTTGCGTTATTGACCACCCTGTATGAGCAAAAATTAAAATTCGAAAAAGTAACAAAAAAGATAAAAGCTGAGGCGTGTAAGTTTTGTTGATACAAAATTCAGCAGTCTAAATTTCAAAATGGTGGACTGGGGGGTTGCCGAAGTGGGGGATTTTTCTAGGCAGAACACCTTATATGTCAGTAGCTAATGACCAAAACCGCATAGTATGTTAAATCAATTCCCTTCTTTTGACTTAGTTTGTCCAAATATGCAATAAAATTTGAGGCATTCCATTTGAAAAATCACAACTTTTATATTTAGGTCGAAATTGAGAGTATAATGACCAATATTTTAGAAATGTGCCCTCAAATGTCATGTACAACATCCCGTAAATAGATTTTTCCAAAATGTATTTGTTTATGAGTAATATTCCGTTTACACATGGATGGGCCACCCTGTATATATGTATATATACAATGTGTTTGGTCACGACATATCGATATTTGAGGGGGATATTTCACAGCTATTTTTATCGACAAATTCACCCCCTATAATGTCCTACCTCACCCCTCTAGAAATGGATCCATACCGCTGGGAACGAAATTAGAGCCGACACGGATATGGTCTGCCGCTCAACACAACACATTGTTTTAAGAACAACAATGTGCATAACCAATGATGGAGGACATTTTGAACAGCTTGCGTAACATTAAACATGTCCAAACTCTCTATAAGAAACATTGATTTGTCATATTTATGAATAATGGTCCAAAAATGTTTCCTTACAAAAACTCGGGGTGTAGAAGCTTTAGGAAAAAATGGAAATTAATTAATATTATCAGAACCGCTTCAGATATTTCATTGATATCAAGTACATAGAGAAAGTTAATAAAGTTGCATATTTTTCAATGCAAAAATAATTTTTAGCTTTAACAGTGGCGTGCGTACTTCGATATTTTTTAAGAGAAATATGGTATACCAATAATTTTATGCCAAATAAAAATTATTATTGAATTCCCCGTTCATTTTAAAACAAATGATCTCTCTCGAGTTGCTTTCCTTCGATGCGCCATTTTTGAGTAAAAAAATAAAAACCGTTTTATTGTCCGAGAAAATTAATGTAATAATAATTATTGAAGAATGCAATTTAGCAATAAATATCTAGTTGCTTTTGACATCTGACAAGTCTCGTTATTCAAATCTGTTCGCTGTGACATCTTTTTCATTATTTAGTTTTTACAATCTTGTTAATAATGGTGAACTATTCAAATGCAGAAATGGCGGAAATGAATTGGTCTTGCCGACGGTAATGGTGAGCAAGCCAGACGGATTTATCACCAGAGATATCCCGATCGTGCTTTGCCAGATAATAGAACCTTTTCTAATATTCATGGTCGTCTTGTTGAAACTGGTTCTGTCCGAAAAGGAACATCTGAAGGTAGACCTCTAAGTGTGAGAATACCTGAAATTGAGGAAGCAGTGCTCCACGGAGTCGAATAACATCCTGAAACGAGTACGAGGAAGATCGCTAGACACTTAAATGTTTGCTATCAAATTGTTTGGAGAATTTTAGTGGATTTTTTGTTATATCCTTACCACATTTTAAGAGTACAGGCATCGCGTATCTTCAAAAAATTACACAAAATCCGCAATTTGAATCAATGATTCTGTTCGCGCACGAAGCTAATTTTTCTCGAAATGCCATTCAGAATTTCCACAATAATCATTTGTGGGCGGAAGAAAATCCCTATGCCGTAATCGAAACCCATTTCCAACACCAATTATCAGTTAACATATGGGCAGGAATTATTGCCAACCACTTTATGGGCCCATTCTTCTTGCCGGGACGACTTCACGGACAGACTTACCTCAATTTTCTTCAACAACAGTTGCCTTTGCTGCTTGATGATGTTCCGTTAGTAATAAGAAACAATATGTGGTACATGCATGACGGTGCACCAGCTCATTTCAGTGGTAGCGGTTCGTAATTACTTACAAACTGTTTATCCAAATCGTTGGATTGGCCGTCGTGGGCCCCAAGAATGGCCACCAAGGTCCCCAGACCTCAACAGTTTAGATTTCTTTTTGTGGAGCTATCTTAAGACACTAGTGTATGCAAGTCCCATTAACACTGTAGAGGAATTAAGAGAAAAAATAGTTGCAGCTTGTGATAGAATAAAAAGCACTCCAGGGATGTTTCAACCAGTGCGCAATTCCATGAGAAGGAGGGCGGAAGCATGAATACTAAGTGCAGGGGGCCATTTTCAACAATTTTTGTAATCATTTCGTTGGTTTTAATATTATGTTTATGTTGTCAGTTGTTGTTCATTACCCCTAATGTGTTTAATTTTTCCAATTAAATTAATAATAATTTTGCAAGTTAGACAATAGGTTTTTATTTTTTCTCTCAAAAATGGCACATCGAAGGAAAGCAACTCAAGAGAGATCATTTGCTTTGAATTGAACGAAAAATTCTATAATAATATTTATTTCGCAAAAAACTATTGGCGTACCATTTTTTTTTCTTAACAAATATCGAAGTCAATACCCGTACGCACGCTACTGTTAAAGCTAAAAAATATGTAGCTTTATTAACTTCCACTACATACTAAATATCACTTAAATACCTGAAGTGGTTCTGATAATATTAACCAATTTCTATTTTTTTCCTAAACTTCAACACCCCGAGTTTTTGTAAGGAAACATTTTTGGACCATAGTTTATAAAGCAAACTAGCATTATTCTTCATGTAGGTGCACACTCTTAAATATTCGCATATCATTAAGGGACACCCTGCATATACAGGGTGACTTTGAAGTTGAGTCATTAATTTTCAGATAATGATTGTAGAAGGAAGATAAACCAAAATATGTGTGTAAAAATAAAAAATAAATAAAAAAAAATGTTTACCTTGTTTTATAAAGTATCCTCCCGACAAGTATTTCAGTGCGGACCTGTATTTGATCGTGAGGTCCCCTGTTAGTTCTGAAGTCACCTGATTCACGAGCCCGTTGTACTACATTAACAAAGGCACGAGGGGTTGGTTGCACTCGATTGGGAAACCGATCCGCATAAACATGTGCCATTTTTTATTTCGTTTGAGCCACGCAACAGACACTATTCACACGCGACTGACACTAACTGTATGTATAACTGAACTGAATAAAATAAACATCGTTCCAAATTCTTTCGCTTTTTTGTTTCCGATGCGATGAACCGATAAGGTGGATTATATCCGTTGTTGCCAAACACGAGTACATGATATTATTGAGACAGGGCGGTACTCAAACTTCCAAAGGGCTATAACTTTGTTACTTTAATTTTACCAGAAAGATGGTAAAGGAAAAAAACATTTCTTTTGATCAGATCTACTCACTGTTAAAATAAATGACTCAACTTCGAAGTCACCCTGTATATATATATATATATATATATATAATATATATGTGTATATATATATGAGAAGTAATCATTGCCAAAGCCAACGACTAGTTGGGTACAAAATACAATTACTTGTTAATTGGGAAATTGACGATAAAATCAAGCTTTCGGCATTATCTATGGAGCCATCATCAGGATTCTGAAAACACAATTGTGATGCTAGCAAAATTTCCCAATCAACAAGTAATTGTATTTTGTACCCTATATATATATATATATATATACATAGAGAAAATGTTCAAGCGGAGAAAGGTATATACAAAAAGTAGAAAAATAATGGGCAAAATTCGCAAAAAAGAGGAAAGTGGATTCGAGCAGAAAATAGGATAGGTTACACCCGTATCCGGATGTGTGGGC